TGACTCAGTAGTGACACCGGACACAGATGAATCAGAGTGGATGGAGTGCGCTAGATGCGGTACAAGTCTGTCATCACTTACAAATAATCCACGTGCAGGTTACCGTCCCTATCCTGTGATGCACACGATCGACCTTATCCGATGGGACGATCGGATGGGATAATAAGCCAAAACAAGAAACCGTTTCTCCAAAATTTGAATGGTATGTGGATGACGCTATGTACACTTTTTAAGACCAATTGTGTGCGTACCCAACCTAGGGATCAAGTTATATTCCGATTTATATGTAGATCTGAACTATGCCCAAAGCAGAGAATCAGCTTTATCGGATAGCAAAGAGGATTGAACAGATCAGGTAGAAGAGCCCAACTTTAAACAGGGCCCCCAGTATTCATAATTGTCGAATTGTGGAGAATAATTCCATAGGTTAATTAAGTAAATCAGGATAGGCACCATTTAAACAGGCTTAATAGTCAAAATTGACGGAAAGTGATCGCAAGCAACTTAGAAATTATAACAGATTTCCAAACAAATCCTAGCGTCCAATAAAAACTCGTTCTCAGATCTGCAATGAAAATAGTATCGGAGAGAAAAGTTCAGGCAGAAAAGTTTAGGCAAACGTGTTTACCTGTTTTAGCTTTTTGATGTCTTCATCCAGCTCCAAATTATCCAGGATGACGGCGATGAACAGGCTAAGTACGATCTGTTTGTACACATAAATTGCCACATGTAGAGCTTTGCGGGTCAAAGCGCATACAGAAAAGTAGTAAAATTCTGATATCTGAATGGGAAAGTACGCGCCTCTATGTATAATTAAGGTAGACATATTTCAGAAAGCTAAAATAATTCAAAAGGTTCAAAAATCGTCACATAATACGATTGATACCACTATCGTCCCATGGAAAGGAACTTCGCAATGTCAACTTGTATATTAAGTTCCCTATAATTAATCATGGAAAGGAATAAGTGAATCAATCCTTATCAAAAACTGTCTCCATGCGGAGTCAGTGGACGAAGGGCAATTGCTTTTCATACTAAAAGTCTAAATATTTAAATCCACCAGACGGTAAGATGTGGTCCCCGTACGAAGATTGATCTGTTTACAGTCTGCTTTGGCAGACGTCACTTCATCCTTTCTCTCATAAAACAAAAAGCTACAAATTCAGTTTCGCTTTTTAGCTTTTTTCATCGGGGAAAATAATTAAAAAAACAAAAATGGCTTTCATGCGACTCACCAGAGTGACAAACAAATGATAGAATACGAAATAAATTGCAACACCGGTGATCACAGCGTTCGAATTGACGACATCCATGGTGTCATGCATAACAGCAACCCAACCCTTCTGCGTGAGGATTTGAAACATTGACATGAAGGCCTGCAAACAGAAAAGATGAAAATTAGCAATATTAGTATACACTTTGATCAGATGTACTTTTAACGCAAACTTTCGGCTCCAAACGCTCTCAGAGTTACCCATAAAAATCAATAGTTATTGGTAAAGTTAATTTAGTTAAGCTTATTAAAAGTTTGAAGAAGATAAACCTAATGAAATACTTCTAAAGATCGCCAAAAGAGAGACAACACAGCCTTTTAGTTTAGCCTAAAAATGAAAGCAGTTACCCATGCCAAAAGTACAAGTACTTAAGCTTCAGGAATCAAAGACTAGGTAAAAACTTCTTGAATGAAGAAGACAAGATAAAAGCGCTGCCTCTGAAACCTGCAGTTAGTAATAAATAAATATGGGCACCATTCATACGGTATGCCCACAAAGATTGTTGACATATTATTTCAGCAATACAAAGGGCCAAAATTCTGAATGGATCTGAAAGAAGTACCTTGCATGAGGCGACTCAGAAAAAAAGGAAATGAAAAAGCCAGACGAGAGGCCATATGCAGGAACAGTGTCAATAATAAATGTGTCTTTCCCCTTCTATCTTCATTTAGCCTAGTTCATTTCTTTCTCCTTACAAGCAATTATAAGGTTAATATATAGTTCCACTCTCGGAAGGCGTGAAGTGTTTGAGATTACGAACGAAAAAATTGGCTTCTAGTCTTTCAATATTTTGCTAATTTGGCGGGTGAACTATAAGCTGCAGCATCAAGAGGTCTTCTTCGGGAAAGCGGTCAAAGGCGCTATGAATGCGAAGTGGTCACAACATACAGTAGTGTGGGGGGGGGTGAATGCGGTTAAACTTGTCCTAGCATGACCTCGGCACCCAACCGCTTAGCTGTTCGGAAATTTCCCACTGCCCACCGTAAGGTACAAAACCGCGTTAATGTTGAGGTTAATTACCGCTGGTTCTGGGCCTGCCTACTGGGACTTTTAAAAAGCTGCTTGCCTCCTAAAAAGGAGACAAGACCACCGGCGCTAAGCACTCCGAACGCCAAAGTGTCCGAAGAGAAAGGCACAGTGGATGACCTACCCCATGAAGTGTCGTGATCGAAATATGGCTGAAGAATTTAAGGAGTATTTGGTCTTTTTCAAAAAGCCTTTTACCGCCGAAAACTGCATGCTTTATCTTGCATATCGAAGGGATACAGACAATATATGGGCGGATTCGGGGGTAGCCAGATGTCTCTATACCAGGACGAAGCAAAACTCTTGATTTTTGTGCGTTTTGCTATAAAAGATCATTAATATAATTAGGAAATGTTCCAAAAAACGCCCCTCTGGAATCAGGGAATGTGACCTTTTAATCCAGCTGAATGCGTGTTAGGAATCACATTGTTTCTCAGAAACAAGGAACGATTTCAGCTTTAAAAAAGGGCTTTTTGCAAAGTCTCAACGTCTCTTACCGCAAACCGCAGGAATGCACTTAACTGGCCGTATTTTGTTTTACTATTCCAAGATTTGGGACCGTAAACAAAATGCGTATATTTTATCATGGAAATGCACGCCAAAACCCATCAAAATTACATATGAAGGTAGACACTCCTTCGTGCAATTTTGTTTTCGTTATTGGGTAATTTGGAAAGATAACGGCAGAAGGTTAGCAGTTTTTGCAAAAGCTTTATGTTCATCTGGTCACTCTGCTGAGCATTTATCAACTGAAGACAGATAAAATAAAACACTCAATATAAAGAGAACAGTGAGCTGTTTCATTTTCAGCAGAAGTTGTGTCACCAATTGTGAGAAAAATATAAAAATATATCGAGTTACTATACTGGCAGCACACATACTAGCTAAAATTCCATACAAGTTTTTCACCGATAATCTGCATGACACATCTACAGCGGGGTTTTCAAATTGAGCCACCACTTTTTATCCTTCCTCCATTTGCATGCAAATTTTCTTCTATTTACCTCGGTTAGCCTATGTACTTCGCCAATTATAAATCGATTTTTATTCCCCTTTGTTTATTTGTACTACAATGAGGTCATCAGTGCATTACAATAGCGCAATTTTGAAAGCAGGCCAATTCAGCCTATATTTGACATATTTTCAAAAGACGTTTATCCACGCTGTCGACAACATGCAGTCATTGACGATTATAGATTGCTTTTGATTTCCCGATGTTGTGAGTTTGTGCGCCAAATTTTAGTTCTTGTGAATGGACGACGTTTTTGCTGAAAGGTTTGGGATGATACTTTCAAGATAGAGCGTATCTCTCTCCCTCTCTCTAATCTGTCTCCCTTAGTAATCCGATGCATCCACTGCGTGGCCCATTTAGGCTAAACTTGACTCTGTAAAAAATCACGCCATGGGCTCTATTAACAATTCCAAGGATGAACTGAGTCTTGTGCATAAAGTCACGAGAGATAGGCTTTACTTTGAAAAGATCCTTCACTTAAAATTTCCTCCATTCCCCGTGAATGAAAGTAGGCTGAAAAACGACAAATATAGCGTTTCAGTTTCCAAAGCCCGCTTGCAACTTCATCCTCCAGGACGCATACCAGCCCCACGGTTATGGAATATCAACGAGATAGTTCCTATTAGGGCGGCCTAACAACAGCCTTCAAAAGCAGTAGTTTGCAAACCAATGCCGCGTCCACAATAGGCTATCGATCGGCCTATGCGCGAGCTAACACTTCGAGCTAGACAACCAATCGATAATTTGAATTTCTAGCAACATTCACTCACTTAGTCAAGAGCCAATGGGACGGGCCACTACCTCAGGAGAGAATCTAATTGGCTCAAGGGACATCACTGACATACGTTTGTTTCCCTAAATTTGTTGTACATAGAACACTCAAAGACTT